TGTTCTAGAAATGGAAAACAAAAACAATGTTCAAATGCTCCTACTGTGCAGAGGAGTCTGATCAAGCGCATATTATGCTTGGTCACACAGAAATTAAACACCATCAGAGCTTCTTTTTCATCAGAAATTAGAAATTAAAAGAATATAGATTGACAATGTATATTTGTGAGGTGTACGCATATTATATACACATTTCTGTATTTCTGTGTTTTTTTATTATTTCAAAATGATTGTTTCAAAGCTTATAGATTATTTATTTCATTTTTTATTAAATACATTGGATAAGTCCCAGATGTTATCATCAGCTCAGTTGTCAGAACTTCGTTACTGACATGATTTATAACAAACATTTCTAAAATTGTTTACCTCCAAGGGGGGCGTGGGAATAGAAATACTGTCACTTAGGTCCACTTCCGTCCGGCAGTAAAACCGTTGTCAAAGTGGGGCGTCCGTTTGGCTATGCGGAATGTACAAGTACACAGCCATGTCCGGTCAGATTTGTTCGTGAGTGCCACGCTCTCTGCCCATTAAGAATCCTTGTAACACCCCTTTTAGGGGTCCGTAGGTGGCCTGTTGCAAGGCAAAATTTCAGTCCCCATCCAATATACCTTCATTTTCAAGTGGCAGCCTAAAATATTTCTCGACCTTCATCCCGAACGATCTCTATTACAGGACCTACCTAGTATTGGATTTATTGCTAATTTGTTCTCGTCCTGAATACGCATGAAATATTTGCAACTGGACGTTGAGCAACCAACAATTAATCATCTAAAATCAGGGGCGTAGCTACCGTCTTAATGAAGTGGAATCACAAACTAAAGGGCGAGAGGTCTGGGGGCCGCCTACGGCCCCCAGTAGGTCCAGGGCAAAGCCCTGATAGGGGGGGGGGGGGGCGAGGGGGGCGAAGCCCCCCCTGAAGATCCGCATTTATAGCGTTTCAAAACAATCACAACCGTAATAAAAATTTTACATTTTTGTTGTGGTTTTTTGGTCAACTATTTGTTTAACTTCGAGTCGAATGAAGACAAAACATTGTCGTTTGCGTTTTTTGTACGCCGTGAGAGCTTTTAAAATCATGGAGATTTGTTCCATATGCTAGTATTTGTATTGAGCAAAGTAGATGAATAAAAAAAAACAATAAACAAAACACAATACTATATGTGAAGTTTCTGTTAGAATAAGCATCTTTGGATACTAAATACTTGGTGGACACATTCTCCAATATTTTGCTGAACATATGGATTTAGATGTTTAAAAATTCTGTGGGTAAACTCTACATGCAAGAGACAGATAGGAATGTCTAGTTTTACGCAGTTAGGAATTCTCGAAGTTGAAATTAATGAACTTTTTCAGAGGGAATGGTACTTTGATCACGATCTTTTCATGATCTGTGTTTGTTAATTATCCAGCTAATTAACAAATACATGTGCATTCGACCAGTTGTATGGCAATATCTAGATGATAACAGTGAAGATACGTGTATTAAAAGTTTGGTGTTTCTTTCGAACAAGAATCAGCAGTTTACTGTCCGACTTGGACAGAAAATTCATTATAAAATTGAATGACCAAATAGTCCAGTAAAACGAGTTAGAATTAACAATTCATTTAAATGCTTTTACCATCAACTATTCGTATAGCCGGCCCATATAGAAACGACTTCGAATTATCGAATCTATATACAAGATGTTTTTTTTTGTAAAATAAATAAAAACGTAATACATGTACTGGAAAATGAGTACTTTCTTTATAATAACAGCAGTTCCAACTTCTCATCTATTAGTTTACGGAAACTATTGATTGATCGAATGGTTATTAATGTCCAGTAGCAAATATAACATGCACACCAGGACGGGAGTACGTTTACGTGTTGTGAAAATGAAGTATTCGTGTTGTCAAGACCTACATACTTGGTCAATTTTGAACTAGTTCACAAGGTAACAGTCATTATTCCCGGATCGATACGAGTTGAAGTCTTCGTTCTAGTAAGATGTGTGTTTTGGGGCGAAGCGGAAAATAATAATTTTCAAGTTTTTTTGTTAACCCTAAAGGAATTATGTTGTTTTTTTGCACTCAAGGCGAGTATACGTTATGGTGGTGCTACCGACAACTATGTAGCTGTTTTTTTTCCTAAACAATGTCCGTAATATAAAAAGTTCCGCCATGTTTACACCAGTTGTATGTATTCATCGTACACATACATGTCTTACAGGATTAAAATTTCGCTGCATGTGTATTCCTCTTGCTCTTATTCTTTGTGTAGTTTTTAAAATGCATACATAGAAAGACTAATTCCTAGAAGTTAACTTTGTCCCTCTCTCTCTCTCTATTTTTTTTTTTTTTTTTTTTTTTTGGTGAAAACGACGTTGATGCACGTGCTGTCATGCGTCCGGGTAGCTACGCCCCTGAATACACTAAATATAGTTGACCTATAGCTATTTCCCAAAGTTCAGAAGATACAGACTTAATAAAGAAAACTAAACATTGACCAATGAACCATGAAAATGGGGTCAAGGTCAGATGAACCATGCCAGGCAGACATGTACACCTTACATATAATCTATGCATTAAATATAGTTGACCTTTTGCTTATAGAATCTAAGAAACAAACTTAACCATGAAAACTTAACATTGACCAATGAACAACTAAAATGAGGTCAAGGTCAGATGATACCTGCCAGACAGACATATACAGCCATACAACAAATATAGTTGACCTATTGCTCATAGTTTAAGAAAAAAGAACAAAACACAAAAACTTAACACTGAGCAATGAACCGTGAAAATGAGGTCAAGGTCAAATAAAACCTGCGAGACTGACATGCACATCATAAAAATATTTCCATACACCAAATATAGTTAACCTATTGCATACAGTATAAGAAAAACAGACCAAAACACAAAAACTTAACTATAACCACTGAAACATAAAAATGAGGCCAAGGTCAGATGACACCTACCAGTTGGACATGTACACCTTACAATCCTTCCATACACCAAATATACTAGACCTATTGCTTCTAGTATCTGAGATATGGACCTGACCACCAAAACTTAACCTTGTTCACTGATCCATGAAATGAAGTTGAGGTCAAGTGAAAACTGTCTGACGGGCATGAGGACCTTGCAAGGTACGCACATACAAAATATATAGTTATCCTATCACTCATAAGAGAGAAATTAACATTACAAAAAATCTTTACTTTTTTTCAAGTAGTCACTGAACCATGAAAATGAGGTCAAGGACAATGGACATGTGACAGACGGAAACTTCGTAACATAAGGCATCTATATACAAAGAATGAAGCATCCAGGTTTTCAACCTTCTAAAATATAAAGCTTTGAAGAAGTTAGTTAACGCCGCCGCCGCCGCCGCCGGATCACTATCCCTATGTCGAGCTTTCTGCGACAAAAGTCGCAGGCTCGACAAAAACTGCCAAAAAAGCCTCATTTTGAGATCTTCGCATTTACATAGCCATTTTGGGTGAAATACGTAAATTTCGCCATTTTTATAACGTCATTGTGACCTCTCTGCACTCAAGTGTCCAGATTATATTAATCTGTTCATTTATCAATAATAAAAGTAACATAATTTTGAAAGGCTTGAAAAAGTTTACCTTTTTGCAATTTCAGGGGCCAAATAATAGCACTTATCATACCTCCTTAGCTTCTTAGTGCAATTGGAAATAAGCGGAAACGCCTTTACATGTATGCGAAATACAATTACATGTGTTTGTCAAGTATTGCATCGCAGGACGTCGCTAACATAAATGAATTATAATTTGAATCCAAAAGACAATCCATAGCTTTACTTCCAACAGAATGGTGGTTTGGTTACCGATGTCTTTTACATGTTTGGAATAATCACTCAAAATTTGCCGAAACTGTCAAAATGCGATTTTTGGTTGTCTTCAAGCGTTTATAATTTGGTGATGCTTAAAGATGGGACTTAAAATTGTTAGAACCGTAAAGTATGCACATTAAGCTGCGATACTGGAAATTTAAGTAAAGACATACTTTTTGAAAATGGCCTAGTTGTGAAATATTTTCATGGAAAATTGTCCCAACCTCTTTGTCAATCTCTCATTTTGTATGGTGCGAGGAAAGTTTAATTGAAGCTTCATATTTTGAAACAAAACTAAAACAGAGTTTACACACTAAAAAGTCTTACCTCGTCTTGTTTTAGCGTTGTTTATGTTAAAAGCTTTGTGGTCAACGCCGAACTCTAGGTATAAAAAAACATTAACACTTATAAAGGAACCATAAAAATCAGGTCAATTTCAGTTGGTTGATTGTTGCTAGCTGAAGTGGCAAATATGTCATTCATACTCAGAACAAAATAGCAATTATTACGATATGTGGTACTACAAGGTGAGTCGATGGGGATGAAAAGCGGAAAATTTGGACTACCATTTGAAAATGTGGGTATATTGAGAAGGGTAATAAATTTTGCCTCGACTTAAGGCAACCGACGGATCCTTCATAAAGATGTTTTTCTTATATTGCAAATACCTGTGGTGAAACAGAATTGTAGATGGCGTATACAACTGGTTTAGTTATCGGACAAAAAATCTACGATGGTGTAATTATCAGACACTCAAGGTCAGCAACAATTAAAGCTTTCTTTTGTTGTTCATTGTGATTAGAATACTCTTTCTAATAATGGAATGAAATAAACACGAATATTTTACAATATCTGTCTTTTGCTGAGGTAAATATGCGGTTTTATTGACTTTTGAAAAACTGATATTCACTGAGGTCGACGGCCGAAGTGAATATCAGTTTTTCAAAAGTCAATTAAACCACATATTTACCGAAACAAAAGACAGTAATTGTTTTATTCCATATTCCGAGAGAAAACAATGTATTTAATGACAAATATTTACCCAAACCAATTGTAGATCAAACATTTTACCATAACGTTACATGTAAAATCGTGTGACGTTTAGCGCGGTGAATAATACTTTTCTCCAGGTGAATATGCTTTTTTATTTAAAATCCAATTCATATAGAGAAACCTACTAAAATAATACTAATATGGAATAAACACATTTATTCATTATGTACTCAACACAAAAACAACAATTTAACATACACGAACGATCTGCACATATTCAACCATTGTAAAATGCTGTAATATCTCACCTGGTTTGGATAAGCCTGCATAAATGTATGGTTATAGTTTAATGCTATAAGTTAAATTTTTGCTCAAATGCATAGCTGATATGTTTGTTTGTTCAATTGGTTTATTACTACTTATAAGATAAAAATGTGAAAAAAAAATAAAAACGAATTTAGATAAAGGGACCTAACAGAGTTCCTAGTCAAATTGCTGAAAGCAATAGTTCATGTAAACAAAAGCCTACGAAACCAAAGATTTCTTTTAAAGCTATAATTATGGCTCCCTATCTCATATTTACTTACATTCACATAAATGTATAACAACAAATGTAAATGTTTGACTGAATGACAACGTGTATTTTGTAGCCCAAAATAAGTTATTGATTTTTACAATTGACCATTTTATAAAGGGTTAGAGTTCTTTCCTATACACGATTTATTACATATTATTTAGCTATTTATACTAAACAGAAAAACCTAAATTTATTTCAAAATCAATAGTGATGGAAGTTAATTCATAGAATGAGGAAATAGTAATGAATATACCATGCAAACATTTGTGAGAAATAAAGACATCAATAAAACTGATAACTAATCGTCTATATCTAGAAGACTTAACATTTTGTATTTCATAATCATTTACTTGTAAGGACCTTGTGCTATGTGTACATTTCATTTCAAATTTGTTTCATCTTAAAAGCAAACAATAACCTTGAACCCAAAATCTTTCGATGTCTATACCGAAATATTAATATCTTTCATGGACACCATTAATATTTTGGTACTCTAGTAAGCATGGTCGGGTCACTTTCTACTCGTCTAGAGTACGACGTGCCTCTGCCACAGTAAAAACGAAATCTTTCGTCTGGCAATTTATCGATTTCATGGGTAAAACGCAAAGCCGACTTTGGCTTGTTTTTCCTCTTACGACGTATCAGAGATCTGCTTGATCGGGTGCTGCTTGAAGTATCGGACGAATAATCGGAATAACCTATATATCGTGGTAGATTTGTTCTGTGATGAAACTGGTGACGATAAGCATCTGGTGGGTAGTTAGGTTCTAAATGTGGCACGGGAATGAATGATATCGGGGGAGGGGAAACGGCTTGTCTTTTCTCACAACGTCTGAAAATATAATGTCTGCTAACTGCTACCAGGAGTGCAGCAAAAATAATTAATATAAACAGAAGAACGGATAAGGAAACGATGTAAGGAACTTGTACTGCAAAATCATCAGATGTCTGCAGGATATTTGATGGATTACAAGTTACTGAAATAAACAAAAAATGCATGATAAATAAAACTGTTATAAGCAACCAATTAAATAGTCCGGTAGTGCTTAAAAAATGACAAATAATTATATAACTCATGTATTACAATAATACAATCATTCTGAAAAAAGTTTCCCTTTGAACTTTACCTTCATTATTATATAGTACTAATTAATCAGATAAAATAAAACTATTGTTTAACGCTATATTTTTTAATCTTTTTGAAACAGTCTTGTAGATATGTATTAACATTATATAACTAAACATTAATGTGTTTAACTTTACATACCCGTCGGCGCTTTAGTTGTAGTGGTGGTTGTGGTGGTGACCGGAGGAGGCTCTTGTACTTCTAATTTTGCTGTAGCTATTATACTCTGTACTGCACCACTTTGTGGTTGATACGGGATTACACAGCCCTGAAATGTTTAAATCATACATGTACCTTGAATACTGAGGATTTAAACGTTTACAGTATAGAAGGTTAAAAAAGACATTTAGACTAGATGAATTTCTGATAAAATGGACTCTCAGACTTTAAAATCTATATTTTTCAAATAGCAGATAACAATGCTTTGGGCAAAACTAGAACGAGAAAAAAAAAAAACCAAAAAAAAACCGAAATTCCTCATAGAAAAATTCAGATTAGAAGACCGTACTCCACCAAAACCTTTGCGAAAACTGAGGTTCTCTGGACTTCTCCCGTACAGCAATAGGACCCATGTCCTTGGTGTGTCTGTTTTGCTGAGCATGATGTATTATATAATAAATGTGCAACTAAAACGGGAACTTCACATCCGATTCCTCGTGAAGGGAGTGTGCCACCATTTGCGCATATTAAAAAGACTCCCTAGGAGGCCTGCTACAAGTAAAAATGTCTGCCCTACCATACTACCCTCTTAAGTGGCAGTCCGAACTTTCTGTCCGCAATCCTGGTCAATCTACATTGCAGAACATACCTGTTATTTTTATTATTGGTCATTTATCTTCGAACTAAATATGCATGAAATATTTGCAACTGGACGTTAAGCAATCAACATTGAATCAATCAATATATAATGTCAAAATACAGGTCTAAAATTCAAGGTCAGCAATTTGTGATATAAGATAAATATCAGAATTATTAATTCAGACACAGAACTATTAATTCAGTGGTAAAATATTATAGTACCAGCTTCTATGTATTGTGTTAAATAAAAGATATATTGGTGGATTATCATTGTTATATCATGTTGGGTTTCTAGGCATTGAACCAACAAACTTCCAATTCGAATAAAACGGCTACAGAGATTTTTAGAACTCCCTAGTCTAAATTCATAACCGTTGGACCCTCTCAATACATTTAACAACAGTATAGCTACAGCAGATTTTAATAGATCGTTAAGTTCTAAAAATAAAAATTCTACCATAATCAGTTTATATAAATGTACCTGACTGCATGTTGTGGTGTTTGAAAAGCATACAGTTAAATAACAGACAACGTAACGAACTCCAGTGAACGTGTTCTGCAAAGTGAATAAGTCTGTTTGAAAAGTATTCTGTTTTATTACACGAAATCCTTGGTTGGATGCCAACTGATAACCAGTTCCACAACTGAAAGTAAAGTACACATTAAGTGTTTTGAAAAATACAAAATAGATAAATGTTAAATATTATCCACGGTCTAATTCTAATTTCGTGCCTTTGTGCACGATTCTAAAGCAAGAAGAATAATTACTTAAATTAAAATTGAGAATGGAAATGGGGAATGTGTCAAAGAGACAACAGCCCGACCAAACAGCAGAAAACAGCCGACGGCCACCAATGGGTCTTCAACACAGCGAGAAAATCCCGCACCCGGAGGCGGGCTTCAACTTGTTTACTTTATAAGAAGGAAGTTAGATGTTACTACTTCTGTTTATCATTTGAGAACTTCCAGTAATTGTAAAGGTGGAGAATAGCCATAACCATGCTGTCCTCTGAAATATGACTATCTCTACGTATACCGTTTTAATGCCACGTGCACATCCAAGGCTTGTGGAAATTGGCTCGTGCATATTAAAAAATATTATTTTCCCCCTAAATAATTGACCAGGGTTTGTCTCTTACGTCATAAAGGCATGGCAAAACGAGTCCCGTGGTTCACGTGTATATTTAGATGTATTTTACCACTGTTGAGTGTATGTTTACAACAGAATGATGTCTGATATTTTACTTCTAATTTCCTTTAAAGCAGTGATTGTCAATTCTCAAAATCAAGCCATTCAAACCACTTTCATTGCCAATTTTAACACTTCTTTCCATTGTCATTTCATGCTACTATAGTTCTTGTAATACTACTATGCCGTTTGGCAACGAATTACAACACTAACAAACAGGATTCGTAATTCATTTAATATATGAAACTTATAGATAACTCCCATGTATGTAACTTTAAAAACTTTAGCGCCAAGTATTTATGAAAATTAAAAATCAATGCATACGTTGACGCCTATAGAGGTCGTCTTGAAGATGGAAGTTTATTAGCTCATTGTTGAACAGACCTTCCAATAACCTTTACGATGTAAACCAGTTTCACATCAATGTTCATAGATATATCCTATTCTATCTGACAAAACATTAATTTGCTCCTTTCTTAAAAGCTGAATTCTCTTCAGATACTTGCAACAAAATTTCCATTTATTTGAGAACAATCTCATCAAATATAAGGAATTGTGAAAATGACAAACTAAACTACGCAGATCATAACAAAAGGCCCAAGCCTGAAAAGTTGTGAAAAATGATCTAAAAAAAAGTATACAGAAAAATGGATAAAAAGTTAGAAGGACGTTCGCTGCTCTGTTTCAAAATGACAAGCTTTCAAAAACACTGTTATACATTGATAGTATATAAATGACAGAAACTTGAATAAGCAGAAAAAAATTAAAGGTCCGTGTTCTTGTTGTTGAGATATAAGGCATTGAAAAATTGGTGGGAAATGATTTTCTCAAGAATTTTCATACATTTAACATGGGCGCTTTTTTTCTTTCAAAAACTATGACAAAAATAACAAGGTTTTTAGAAGATTTTCAAAAAGAGCATATTAAAGTGTATGTAGTTAAATTATGAAAAGAAAAGGAAGGTTAGCGGGCAAACTTTATTTAATGGCTCTACATTGTCATAGAAAAACAGACGATTCCGAATAACTGACAAAAGTCAAAAACAAGATCAGCGACCAAACCTCCTTAAATAAGAAAAGGACATGCCCCATTCCATACCTTTGTACATATACATTTACCTTTGATACAGAATTTTAAGTTTAAAATTGGGATCATCCTCGTTTATAGAGTCAACAATGGAACATGACGTCACATCAACAGTATCTACAAAACAGAAATGTTTGCATCGTCCATAAAATTAAGGAATTACGTTACGAAAATTTGTCATCTAACAACTGAATGCCATCATCTATTAAATAGAAATTAAATAATTATGTAACAACAATACAATGAACAATAAAAAAGCCCCATGTATCATGTTGTTAAAAGTACCTTCGGAACAAAAGAGAAAACGGATTGACGTATTGTTGTTTAATGTACAAGTCCGCTAGTACATTTGTAAGTTGTTTGTATATTCAACACGAGAACAAATTAACAATAAATCAAATTAATATAGAAAATGCTTAGTACATTGTTTCAATCTCAACCAAAGGTCAAACAATTCCATTTGAATTCATAACGTAGTTGAATATTGCAAAACGGCAGTGGGTGATTCCAGACCTGTCTTTTGGTATTTTAATAAACTACCGACAAACAGTGTAGCTAGAAGCTCTAAAGAGCCTGTGTCGATCACCTAGGTCTATATGAATCTTCGACAGAGGCAACTCTTCAACATTTTGGCAGTTGTGGGGAAGGAGCCTGGCTGAATAAAACATTTTTCTTTTGTGGCTACTAGAAAAGATCATGACAACAATATTTTTGTTGATCTTGTATTACTGATCATGTTTCCTGTTAACATTTTCTCTCTATCTTCTTTATTTTTTGGGCAAAACACAAAATAGGGTAAACAATCGTCATTCAGGGGAAATTATTCCTATGAAGAGTACTAACGATTTCAGCAAAATTTAAGTCATTTGTAGATCTAGTCTTTCTGGTCATTTTTTGCTATATTTAAAGTATCTATCTATCTTTTATATTTTTCAGGATAATAGGGATTAACACTAAAACTTGCTAAAATTCGTCATTGAAGATCAATAACTCCAATAAGGAATCGACTATTTCGGCCATTAGACTTATTTGTAGTTCTTGTCTTGCTGATAATTTTTGCTATTTAAAATTTGTTAAAACTAGATACCCGTTTGATTGATTTATTTATTGGTGATTATCACCACTGTATGTGACTATTGTCTATTTCGTAAAAGTGATATTCAGGTCTCACATCCAGCCTTCTTTCACAGGTAAGACAAAACGAATAGCAGACTGATTTGCTTAACAGAAATAACTATCTTCAAAACACTTCTAAGAACATTTATTAATATAAAAATCAACTCATACAATATCACCGTATATAAAATACGGAGAAGTTAATATTGAGACTGTAACAAAATGTTGCATGAATAAAAATGTAAATGGTTTAATAAAGGAAACATGGACATTTATAAAATAATGAGTACATTGCGTAACTTGAACATTCCGTGAATATTTTGCAATCCGAAATAAAAACAACTACATTTATTTAAGATTTAGGCATTCCAACTAAATTTTCAAAAGTTGAAAAAAGGGAATTCCAATGTTGTGTGTTGATAATACGAAATCTGCATCAAAATAAAAAAAAAAAACTATTCAAACCGTATTATTCTTTTCATTTACAAAGATTCTGAATATCATAAAGGCATATTTTTTTCTTCTTCATTTTTCGTAATTTGTCCACTAGTTAAAGTAACAACGAGCACCACAACGTTTAGATCTGAGTTATGTCGCTTTGTCCGACAAGCTCAGGATTTAACTATAAAAAACCAATGAAGAAAGAACATCACACAATTTGAAAACATTTGTTGTCTTAACCCGCTTCGTCATGTGCTTAAAAAACTTAAAAGACTAAGTACATGTACCGTACAGGATACAACATTTATCATGAAGAATGAAACTATTTGCTAACGACATAAGTTTTAAAATGTACACCAAAATATAGTATTGTCAATAGATCACTTTACCGATCTTTGTGTGACACACTCTGTAAAGTGATCTATTGACAATACTATATAAGACCCTTACATGTGGCGGTTTCAATAATGGCATATTTCCATATAGAATGTTACTGTTATCAGTAATGGTATGTTCCTTCTCTATTTTGTTGTTGAAGATATTATTTTTTCTATGTGCATGTTCTATTTTCGTTCCAATTCAATTTAATTTCGAGTCAATAAATGTATTGTTTGAGTTCCAACTTCTGTTCGACTACATTTTTTTTGTAGGAACCAACCTTTGTGGTATAGTGAAGGTGTCTAAAATTCATGTATTCAAAGTGCAAAGTTTCAACTAAAGCAATTTATCTTATTTAAAGGAATGATCTTTTCATATTAAATTTGACAACCTTCAAACAACTGCTAAGATAAAACATGAAGATCAGCATTTGTCTTTTCAACTTATCTCTGGCTTTTTAACACGTAATACAACTTCAGAAAATATTGCATGCATTTATTATTGCGATTGTTGACCAATCAACACAAATGTGAGTTAAATTATTGCGATTTCAGGAAATGCTGCATACAAATAAAGCTATCAAAATATAAAATGCTAGTTTTTATTTTTAATAATAAATAATAGCGCTAGCGTCAACAGAGAGTTTAATTTGTTTTCCATGCTCAACCTTACCTGAAGTAACAGTGTTAGCGTCAACAAAGAGTTTAATTTGTTTTCCATGTTCAACCTTACCTGAAGTAACATTGTTAGCGTCAACAAAGAGTTTAATTTGTTTTCCTTGCTCGACCGTTGAAATATTCTGACTGTTTTCGTCAAGAACAGTCAACTCTAAATTTGTTATATCAACTGTAGATGCTTTTCTGCAATGGAGAAAAAATATACAATATGCTAACAATTAAAAGAATGTACGTGTTTTCTAAAGATATTCACTGAGGACAATATTTAATTGTCAAATGCAAATGCTTACGAAATAACACAAATAATGCACCAGCGAAAGCACAAAACTTTCATAACGTGATAATCACTCATATTTTCAATGAATAAGGCGGTATAATTGATAAGATGGATGTATGGCTGTTTAAATAGATAAGATGGGTGTATGGCTGTTTAAATAGATAAGATGGGTGTATGGCTGTTTAAGTGGCAAATAAAATGCTTATTCAGGACGAGAACATGATAATATAAGTTATCATGATTTGATCCAACTAGCATGATTATTTAGAGAGTGTAGAAAATGTTGAACGGTTCGGGCGAGAAGCCTAAAATACTAAATTTGAAGTCTTTGATTTATCCCTACCGGGTTTCGGAGCCACTATATCCTGCAATCGACGCGATCACGATACCTCGAGATTACCGAGGTGGTTGCGGTATATTAGAGATGTTCATGAAACAAAATCCGCATAAAATCTGGAAACTGTATTCGTTAAAGGAACTAGGAACGAAATTTCCAAAACTCTATACGAATATCATATACAGTAAACCCAATATCCGGGTATACTGTGAGTAATTCCATCTACTTATGGTTTGTCTATGAATACTTATAATACTACAACTAAAACAGCAATAAATACTAAGGATTAATAACGAGTTTACTAATAAAAAGCTAAATTTGTGCAATTAACAGAATCAGGTTGTATAAGGTTTTTTTTTTACGTCTGGTAGCCTTTTTGGGAAATTGCATTGCTTAGGTCAGACGTCAGAGCAATGTCGGACGAACAATAAGGCAGACATTACATACGTATATTCTAACTTACATACTTAACAGAGGCGGATTTAGGAGGGCCCAGGGTGCCGCGCACCCCCCTTTTTTGTGGGAAAAATTTGGTTGATTATGTAGGGAATCACTGAAGCATGGTTAAGCGGCCCCGTCTTATGGCAGTCAGTGCCCCCATCCCAATATGATAATTTCTGGATCCGACACTGCTTAATATCGATGGAATATATTGTTGTCACCCACTTTTACAACACAGAAATGTCGTAATCAACGTCTATCGGTTGGTTCTACAAAGATTCGATACTGTAGTGCTGAATTTTCTCTTGTACTTTATACGACCATGCCAAATTACATATACATCATAGGGTCAGCCTCAGGCAAAGTGACCTTAGATAGTTTTGTTTGATCGTTTAGGTCTCTTTAGGTCAGATATGATAGCTCATCACGTGTTTATACATCGCTGACTTTCTGGTGTTTGAATTTGAGAGTTCTTTTCTATGATCTAACCATGTTTATTTGATATACAGCTGTTCAAAACCTCAATTGTAAAATATATATAACGTTTTTCCCGTCATGACAAGATGGTTATACTTTTTGAAGTAATTGCGTTAGTAACTATACTCATGTTTCCGGCAAGAAAATATCATGAACTAGGAACAAGTAAATGAACTTATTAAAGTAGAAATATCTTTCCTCTCAGCTTTTCCAACACGATATAAATGCACGAACCCGATATATGCTTACCTTGCATATGCTTGGACATTTTTTCAGACCGTTTACAAACATGACATTTTCCGGTTTATGGTTTCAGTGATATTTTTTTTGCTTTAACATGCAAATAACTATAACAAAAGCAATATTCTTGTCAAGTTTTACGATGGTCGAAAAAAAAGATACGATATGAAAAAAACGGAACTCTGATCGTTTGCAAACACAATATAACGTTGGACATTACGTATTTGCGTAAAAATAGGATAATTAAATGTTTAATTTTTGGTATTTTAAATTTCGGTTCCTACTTTTCTTTATTTTCAATCCTATTAAACTCTATTCAACCTCATATCAGTATATTTTTGTCGAGTTGATCAGTCTATGCATTTATTGTTATGAGTTATGATAATCTATTATTGATAGCAAAATGGAATTCGTACCAACATCGTGCGCATGTATATAGAATGTAGAATTTCTAGATAAGTAATACATGTTATGATCTTACAATGTCCTTTTTGTATTAATTAAATTCACAATTTTATGTTACTTGAGAATAAAATTTTCACTGTTTAGAATTTTTCTCTCCGATATCAACGTGTTGGCGCCTTTTGGTGTATACTTCTGACTTTTTGACTTTTTATCCTTTTTTTAAGTATTCGAGCGTCACTGGTGAGTCTTTTGTAGACGAAACGCGCGTCTGGTGTACAAAATTTTAGGCCTGGTATCTATGATGAGTTTATCTGAAATCATAAAATAATAAAAAAAATTGTAAAAGTCTAGTATTTGTATCTCTAGAAAAAACTTACACGAGCAATTTAAAGTTAGGATCCTGCACTGTTATCAAAAGCTCTTCACGTGTTGAATTTCCATAGACACAAGTAACTGTATAAACCGGGTCGCTGTTAGATAATATAACCTCGTCCTGCACTCGAATACTGAATGTGTAAGTTTCTAACTGTTGGTCCCACTAAAAAAAAACAAAATCAGTACAAAAAATTTTACATCAAAGTTACAATTTATGTACATTGTATATGATATAAGAACTTTGAGTGTGCATTGCTAAATTAAGTGGACGGAAACACAAATAATCATAGACAAATATAAGAGGGTCTGGATTGAGTTCATAGAATAGAGAGTAATGAGCCAAACAAAAAAGTTTAAGTTTCAGACGGCCCCTAGCACCGGCTAGAGCGGAATTCTTTGCAAAAATAATTTGGATAGACTTTGTAAGATTTAACAACACCAATTTACAGGGGCGTAGCTACATTCTTAAAGAAACTGCTGTTCAATATTGGGTATACTTTTCTTGTTTAAGCAATCATTGCTCTCTCTCCCATCCCTCTCTCTTCCGATATATATAGATAACATTACAACTTGATAAATAGTAGTCAAACACTGTGTGTTCCATTCTGAGGTGCTGTTTTGGAAATTAGAGGTAGCTTCCTGGCTAAAGTCGACATGTAAATATGAAAACAGTCTTTGTTTTGAAGAAGTTTATAGAAATTAATCATGATTATTTGTTTGTAGCCAGTATGAAAATAGTTCAAAACTCTAAGCTGTATTCTTATTTGCTAATCCCGTACCACATGTAAAACCGTTCTGGAGGAAAAACAATTACACTGGTTTATATGGTTTGGTCATTGGCTATCATATTCAAAATATGCTTGATCTCAATGTATTTATACCCAAGGCAACAAACTCCAATCAGACTGTTAGAGTAGAAACAATTTGAAACCTCAACTTTATACTTCAGTTAAATCAGTTTGTTAAAACAAATCTCACTTTTTTCATTTCATAACCAGTCCTTTTGTAAATTAGCCAAAATATAATGAAGCTTTTGATTTGTTGTTTTTATACGATTGTGTGACAGACAGAAGGAAGCAGGAATAACGGTATAGCGAATGTCCAGTACGCAATTTAAAAATCCTGATATTGCAATCTCATTTCCATTGTATACAGATATTGATTTAGAGAAAAATAATTTGTTACTAAGTTGTGCTATTTTTTGCTTATGAATACAAACGTTTTTGTATCGTCTAATTTGATTGGATATCGTCATATTTTTTCGCCAAAAGCGCTCTAGGCCTCTGTCAACTAGATCATCTAAATTTGCTTATGAATACAGATTGCCCCCATTCCTTGAAAACACATTGACGGAATTCCAAGGAGCTTGCACTGATTCTTCTATAGGTGGGAAATGAAATTGCGCACCTGCTACTTCAACTTTTCGTCTGATTTTTGTGTGTGTTTGGGGATGGGTGTCACATACCACAAAGAATATCACTCAGTGTGTCTGTAAATCGTTTCATATCAATAGAATTATTTTAAGGACTCAAAAGCATATTCATTTATAAACTGTTTCGATATGACATATAATTTCTGCATTTAATTAACACACCTGAAAGGTGCTTTTGAAATTTCGTCGTAATTTCCAGGGTTAACTTGCATTTTTTAATAAGATTAAGATAATATAGATGCATCACGTTAATACCCCTCCCACTCTGTCCGATTGACCAACTCCTATATGTTAACTTTGTCCGTCTCTCTCTCTCTCTCTCTGTTTTTGTTTTTTTGGTGAAAACGACCTGGATGCACATGCTGTCTTGCCTCCGGGTAGCTACGGCCCGGTCAATAAAGAACATACTGGAAAGTAGTACATATTTAAAACAAAATAGTTCCTACGTATAGGTGTAAATTTAAAACTAAGCTTGAGGATTAAACCAACACTTATTCTATATATGTGATAACGAACAACATGAATTTTTGGAGTTACAAGTATACATACAAATATATGTTAACTGATTGTACAGACATAATTTATATATTTTTTCTATGTTTCAGATAATTATTGTACCAGATAATTATTTTACCATAGTTTTCTTTTATAATATGTGCGTTAAATTGTGGGCAATTGAGCATACGTGATACCAGAAGCGGATTTACGGGCCCAAGGGGCCAGGCCTAGCTCCCTTATGCTGCTACTTATACGATTTACGGGCCCAAAGGGCCAGGCCTCTCTTATGCTGCTACTTATACGATTGTGACATTTCTTAGATAATATTTCATTTTTGATTTATTCTATACAATTGAAGTGTTTTTGCAACAAACAAAAACTACCAATAATCGAAATGAGTGCATTTACAACAGCACTTCACGGAATGTGATATCAGCAAATACATCTTATTTATCTCCTCAGAGAAGTTTCAAATAAGCTTCAAAATCGACAATTACAATCATACTTTCATACATTTTGATATTTGATTTCCTTACAAAACGAAATCGTCATGTTCATTGGTCAAAACTAGGCAACTACTTTTATTTTTCAGAAATTCCTTTTAGTTTTTCGTCTGACCTAGATACAGGTTTCTTCTTTCTTTGTACATTAGTTGTCGAATACATCTTGAATCCGCTCTTATAAGCTAATATTCATCAATATTGAACAACTTCGAACAAATGAACTTGAAGTGTCTCTCGGATATCATGTATGTGGTCTTTCTTTTACAGACCACTTCAAGGAGTTAATCTCATGAAGATATTATTAGTTACACAGTGTGAAAGTGACCTAATACGATATATATGGGGTCAGTAAATTCCTCAACGCCGTGTTGTTTTTATAAAGGGACGTAGCACCACTAGTGACTACTAACCGTGTATTAAAATAAACCATGCCTACTAACATAGTTTATTTGATAAATATGCATACATGTAATATGACGCAAATGAATTCAGTATCCTGGCGCAATTGATACCGTATGAAAATAAAATTTGGCGCAAATGATGTATCTTAAAAATTACAATTGGCGCAAAAGGACTGCAGTCACAATTTCTCTGTCATGATTCAGCATTTTAACCAATGTATGCAATTATGTACATAACACTGCTAATGGTTCCAAAGGAACACATACATTGTTGTATGCAAGAGTTCTGTAACTAGCTTAGAAAAAGCTTTTAAGGAAGAGAGACTCGAAAGATACCAAAGGGACATTCAAAATCATAGGTCGAAAATAAACTGACAACGCAATGGCATAAAAAGAAAAAGATCAACAGACAAACAACGGTACACAAAACACAATATAGAAAACTAAAGACTGAGCAAAACGAAACCCATAAAATCTGGGAGTGATCCCAGATGTTATGGAAGGGTAAGCAGATCCTGCTCCACATGTGGCAACCGTCGTAAACAATATTAAAAATAAATGAAATAAATATATGGCATGTCTCTGAATTTATCTCTATGTTAATTAAGTCGGTAGTTAACCCAATCACTATTCTGACAGTAAGACCTGCCATGACAAGGCTAGGGGTATATGTTAAGAAAGTCGGTAGTTAACCCAGTCACTATTCTGACAGTAAAACCGGCCATGACAAGGCTGTGGATCTATGTTAAGTAAGTCGGTAATTAACCCAGTAACTATTATGACAGTAAGACCTGACATGACAAGGATGGGATCTATGTTAAGTAAGTCGGTAGTTAACCCAGTCACTATTCTGACAGTAAGACCTGCCATGACAAGGCTGGGGATCTATGTTAAGTAAGTCGGTAGTTAACTCAGTCACTATTCTGACAGTACGACCTGCTATGACAAGGCTAGGGATCTATGTTAAGTAAATCGATAGTTAACCCAGTCATTATTCTGACAGTAAGACCTGTCATGACAAGGCTGGGGGTCTATGTTAAGTAAATCGATAGTTAACCCAGTCATTATTCTGACAGTAAGACCTGTCATGACAAGGCTAGGGATCTATGTTAAGTAAATCGATAGTTAACCCAGTCATTATTCTGACAGTAAGACCTGTCATGACAAGGCTGGGGGTCTATGTTAAGTAAGTCGGTAGTTAACCCAGTCACTATTCTAATAGTAAGACCTGTCATAACAAGGCTGGGATTTATGTTAAGTAAGTCGGTAGTTAACCCAGTCACTATTCTGACAGTAAGACCTGCCATGACAAGCTTTAAGGCTGGGGATCTATGTTAAGTAAGTCGGTAGTTAACCCAGTCACTATTCTGACAGTAAGACCTGTCATAACAAGGCTGGGGATCTATGTTAAGTAAGGCGGTAGTTTACCCAGATCATAATCTATTAAGATAAAAGCAAAAAATCAAAACCTGTACAAAAATTGGTCACATATAATAGAGCTCAAGAGAAAAGACAGAAGCGCTCACATGATAACAAATGACGACTAAAAGGATTCGATTAATAGTTGCAGCATATTGCACTTTAAGTTGATCTTTTCTTTTTTTTCAACTTTAATTGTTAATCAAAGTGTTTATCTACAACAGTTTTCAAAATAGCAGTCAAAACCCACATTGGTGAAAAGTTAAACTCCCAATAGAAGTCGATTGATTGTTTTCGTCATTTTATCATTTTTGTGGAACTTTTCTTGCTGATCCTTTCTGTTCTGTTTCTGTCTGTATTTAACTGACTTCCAGGTGTAAGACAAATTTCTAAAACTCTTTGTTTGATTAAAGTCATGTGAAACGATTTTTTGCTGATAATTATGATGTTAAAACATTTTCTTTCATTCTTTGGCAATTTAACCCTTTCGGGACCCATTTAAAAAACATTTAATAAGCGTTTGGTTGCCGATGATCTCAGAAGATGATTAGATGAGTTTTAAGGGTTATAACCTTTGTCACCTAACTGGATGAATCAAAATCTGCTACTAGTAACAGGTTTTAATGAAATTGACAACTTTGAGGAATGTGGAAGGCACTCGAAGGGGATTTTCGTTTATCAAAAATAAGAATTGATTTGATAATTATTAGAGAAAGAGATTCTCACATAGCTACTCGTGGATTATCGAATTTACCCAATCTCGATAGTTAAGTTGTCAATTTTGAAGTCCTCGTCAAGGCTCGGACTTTAAAATTCTATAATTTAACTATCTCGATTGGATAAATCCGATAATCCACTGGAACCAATGTAAGAATCTATATGAATCAACGCACAACTATGTTATAGAACTAATCCTCCGTGTAGGTTTTTACCATTTATTACTAATCTATATATGAAGCATATAATGGAAAAACAAGAGTGCACACGCTGAAATGTCTCGCCTGTTTTACTCACCATTGATTTTATGTTGAAAGTCTTAAAGATAAAGGTTTTATTACAAGTATCACATAAACTTAACATTTTTAAAGATCCAGGACAATGAGGTGAAGGTCAGATAAAAACTGTCACACAGACATGTACACCTTACAATTATTCCATACACCAAATATAGTTGACCCATTGCTTATTGTAATTGAAAAACAGACCAAAACACAAAAACTTAATGTTAACCAATGAACCATGGAAATGAGGTCAAGGTCAGATGATACTGGCTAGACAGACATGTACACCTTACAATCATTCCATACCTCAATTATAGTTGATCTATTGCTATCAGTACTTGAAAAACACACCAAAACACAAAAACTTAACATTGACCAATGAACCATGAAAATGAGGTCACGGTCAGATGACACCGGCTAGACAGACCCTTACAACCATTCCATACACCACATACAGTTGACCTGCTGCTTGTAGTACCTGAGAAACGGACCTAATCACGTAACTTTAACCTTGATCACTGATCCATGAATTGAGGTCGAGGTCAGGCTAACCGTGTCTGACGGATATGTAGACGTTGCAAGGAACCCATATACCAAATATAGCTATCCTATTACTCATAATAAGTGAGAAATTCACATGACAAAAAAACTGTAATTTTTTTTCAAGCAGTCACTGAACCATGAAAATGAGGTCAAGGACAATGGGTATATGACAGACGGAAATTTCGTAACATAAAGTATCTGCATACAAGGTATGAAGCATCCAGGTCTTCTACCTTCTGAAATATAAAGCTTTATACAAAAAAGTTTACGCCGACGCCGGATAGTAATACCTAGGTCTCGCATACTGCGACTTTCGTCGCAGGCGGGACAAAAAACAATAATTCATTCGGTGCTTATCAACTTTTGGGTTTTGAGGTCGAAGTAGAACGATCGTGATTCTGACAAACAATCAACACAAAAAGATAAGCAACTGTATAACAAGTAATATTTTATTTTGATGGTAGTATAGCAATGTTTATCCTTCACATTTTCCTAGCTATCCTACAAATGTATGTGTTGATTAAACCGTGTCATTCATAACGATTGTTAAATGATTTGGTATATTTAAATATTTTTTTTCAGTATTCCAAGTTTAACTTTTTTCTTCCATCGCGGTTTTTCCGCAGATGCGATTGCAGAGTTTCTAACCTGAGTGTTCATGTTGAGGTAGCTGCATACGTAAATGCTGTCTGCGAATTAAAGTACGGGAAGACAATAATTCAATAGTAGGTATTTCCTGTAGATTTTGACATCAGAATGATTTTTTCTTTATGTCCATGTTCATGTGTTTAGAAAACAAACTAACCATTCAGTTATATCAAGCATATTCATCTTTTTGTGAAATTTGAAAGGCTTAAAGGACAATTATATATCATATAGACACAAAAAGGATAAATCTTGAGAAGTTTGGTTCAAAGTGGATCAGTAGTGTCTTCGGAGAATAACTTTGAAAATATGTACGACGGGCGACGACATATGCCAAATTATGGCAATAGCTCACACACGTCCCTCCAGGTCTTATATAGTCCTTAGTACGATATGTAATTTTATCCAACAATAAACAATACCAGTAAGTTCATTTTAAAGGTGCTTAATGTATTGATAATAGATCCCCCTTTCATGACACATGCCTCTCGGGTACCTCTGAGTCGGGTACTTATATTACACAGAATATTGATATCTGTTTACTGTTTTGTTTTATGTGCAAGTTGCTGTTTCATTGAAATATAACCAAAATTTTTTCAATTGAAAATCGCGAAATCTAGCGAAGCAGTCGATAATGAAATGACAAATATACCTCTAATCCACATGGTTTATCGTTAACCCTTTCGATTTCCCACACTGCAGTCGATGTCTCTGTCGCCGCACAACCTGCTTCATTAGCAGTGGAATATACGGCTGTGGCCTCTCCGACATACGTGACGTTGATCGTATCATTCCTTGTATTACCACACTCAACAGTTACTGTCATAAATGTAACAACAAAAGTTATATAAAATGATTTAAACAAACAGCTGTGCAAAGTGATGCATAGAAAGTAAATGTATGACCACTACACCTAAAGAATGGCTTGATATGTGATGTTGTCCCCTTTTAAGTGTGTGGTAAAAGTATCCTGAACTATCAATCTAATTAAAATATAGTTCTCTGATTTCGTTATACTCATATTAGGCCATATATACGAGCACGCGAGTTAATATAGATCAGAATATTAATCAGATTGCCTGAACTATAAAAGATGATTCAAATGTTTCATTGTGAATATTTCTATACATGAAAAGACCATTGGAATAATTCCTCAAAATCTAGTTATGCTCTATAATATACAAACATGGATGTCTTATGGCTAGTCCTTCAAAAACAAAATGCACACTGAAATATATTGCATGCTTTACTGATTTGATAATTAATTTTATGTTGAAAGTTTTGCAGATTAATATCAAAAGGTAGATGTTTTATGATTGCCAATGTGAAAGCTATCCATAAAACTAGGCGATAGCAATACATCGAAATGACCTCAAGGTCATCGCGATGTAAAAATTGAAGAGAAAATAAACAACTACAGTTCATTGAATGGCCGTCACCAATGTGCTAAATCAATTCCGTATAGTAAGCTATGATAGTCCCAAAATAACAAAATGTGAAACAATACAAAAAAGAGTAAGTAGATATAAGAAGATGTGGTATGAGTGTCAATGAGACAACTCTCCATCCAAGTCAAAATTTATAAAAGTAAACCATTATAGGTCACAGTACGGTCTTCAACACGGAGCCTTGGCTCACGCCGAACAGTAAGCTATAAAGGGCCCCAAAAATTACTAGTGTAAAACCATTCAAACGGGAAAACCAACGGTCTAATCTATATAAAAAACGAGAAACGAGAAACACTTATGAACCACATCAACAAACGACAACTACTGAATATCAGATTCCTGATTTAGGACAGGTGCAAACAAATGCAGCGGGTTTAAACGTTTTAATGGTGCCAAACCTTCACCCTTTTTCTGAAACAATAGTTTAACATCACAACACAGAAAGACACACTATAAAATATCAACTGAAATAGCTTAACTCAATCAAAGGACATATTAACACCATTGAACATACACTGAACAAATCGAAAGTTGACCTATGATACAATGTAAATACAAAATAAATAAACTAAGGGAAGAATAATAAAAGTAACATGTTATATCGGTATGAAATGTTAAAAAATTAAAGAAAAACAATATGCTCGAACAAAAATATCAGCCATTTGCAATAACTTTAAACACAGGTAAATGAAAATAATTTTGTTGTTAGGTATACGTGTACAGTTCCAATAGAGAAAGGAAATATTTTTACAAAAATAAATAATTTTGATGTTCATATTACGAAGTGAAAATTTATAGTAATACCAAACACTTATCAAAGCTGGTATATAGACCAGATATAACCCTGAATAACATTAAATAACAAAAAAGCAATACAATTAGTATCAACAGGTCAAATAAACAAGAAAGTACGATTTAAGAGTACTCGCAGTTACTGACAGCTAGTTAAAAGCCAAAACAATTAATAATAAAAAATCATGCATCAGAGACTAAAATCAACTAAAACACACAAGGGCCTTATTTAAGCTGAAAGCATTAAAAGAAAAACAATTATGAGACAACCAACGACAACCACTGTCCAACATGCTCCTTTTCACAAAATATACTAGAAAAACTGTATAAAGCTCAAAATTAGATGCATAACACCGCTTACCGGACACTTCGAAACCCAATCTTGAGGTGCACTGGAGCATTATATGGTCAAGATTCCGAGAAAATTTCTTTAAATTATAAGGGGTTTATTGTGAGCTGCGGATACAAAATTTGTTCCCCTCCACCTTGGATAAAGCAATGGCAAAGTGTGATTTTGTTAAGGGAGACCTGTGACTATTATAGTAAGTATTCATTTGGATCATAAACAAAATGGAAAATGCACAATGAAATCATATGATGAAGATTTTTAGAAAATTTCATTAAATTCTGATCATTCTTTAAGGTGGATTTATGGTAGATAAAAATGTCTACTGTAGTGTGCAGTTATATCAAAGTTAATATCATGGCAATAGTTGGGAAATGGGCTTACTCATCTATCTTTCTTTCACAGAAACCAAAACAAAGGCAACTAGTTTGTTGTGTTCTTGTGGCCTACTGGAGAGGAAGAGAATAAACAAAATAAAAAAAAATAGTACCACAAGGAATACCTACAACCTGTCAATGAACTCTGTATCAGAAACTAAATAGATGTTTCGAATGACGACCAGCGTCGTCTCGCCCGTTGGAGAAATGACGATCGCGGTGGGTTTCTGTACTACGGCCCTAACCAATTCCGAAAACTGACCGTAAGACGTAAGATAAATTTCGGTATAAAAATAGGGCCCATATATAATAACCCTCCTTCTTGGTTAATTCTGATTATATTGGTATCAGATTGACTATACAAATATCACTGAATTGATCTAACTAAAGTTTCATTGAATGGAAAATCTCATTTTGAAAGATTTCAAGAGAAAAATGACGGATTCTTGTTGTAGATGTAATAAAATAAATATTCTATTTTTTGTTTTGTTTTGATAGCCAAGAGATCATTTCAAATGGAAGTTACCTATCAGTTTATGTTGGGAATACTATTCGAAGAAATAAGTAAGAGGTCCCTCAGTATTTGTTTCTCACTGCAATATTCCAGACAGTTTTGTACCACATGCTGTAAGATGTTATATTACTATTTTGTATATTCTAACTAATTTGATTCGTTCGGGAATAGTCACATGTTCAACTGTATTTTTAAAGGGAGACTGAAAATGGAAGATAGAAGTGTGATATTAGTTATTTTTAAAATATCTAAAAATAGAAATCTAAAAAACCGCAATACTTTGTGACGCATCGCAACAATCAATCAATTGAATTTCTGCTCCATTTCCGGCGTACCGGCAATAATAATATGACAACAGTAGTATGAGGTCGATACGAGGATATATCGAACTAAAGAAGTATATAGGCCTCGGACTTCGTTCTCATTCGAAATACTTCTTTCAAGTCGATATATCCTCGTACCGATGTATTATTTTAGGTCGATATATCCTCGTATCGTCCACATACAAAGGCTATAATTTTATAATACTGCTAAAGATACACATTTAATGTTCTTACCTGGATCAGCACATCTGTTGTATGGTATCTGAAGAGAAAAAAAACCTCTAGTATTACAAATCCAATGCTGTCCATGATAAAATTGAGTTTCAGTTTTGCTATAGATCCTACTCATCTGGATAACAACCAAAACTTTCTATGCAGATAGAGAGAAATGGCCAATTTCTCTTGAATTTGTTTGAGCAATGGGTTCAAAATCCGACGTCCGAAAATAATTAAACTAACTTTATTAGCAAAGTGTCTCAATCATGTAGTATAAGTAAAAATAATCCCTTATAACCATGCAATAAAATACTATTTCACGATATGCATTGCGATAAAAGGAAATTTTGTAATTAAACTTATATTTTTTCATACAGGTTATCGAAGACATCCGTTACCAATATAAATCATATTGGATATCATATATATTCTAAATTTTTAGTTTTAATAAACATTTTCTTCTTATTCTTTTTTTTATAGATAAAATTTGTTTGCCTTTCAAAATTGCAGTTCTCAGAGCATCATGTCGGCATTTTAGCCTTCTATAATCATTTAATAAAACCCTATTCTAAATAGTATCCGCTTTCCAAATAGCTCGCATTGCAAACAACGTTTGTTTTACACGTATTGGCAAATGCAACTGTTTCAATAGAGATTATAATATACTGGGATAAGACATTTTTAGATATATGCCGGATGAACTTTTAAAATCGATAATGCCAACTGCTTTCCATTTTTTTCTTGAGATTATTCTGTATGATGTCTGCTCATACAAACGAAGGAGCAAGTTGGTAAAAAGAGAAACATAAAAGGTTTCACAGAAATGCCGTTTGTCTATTGAAAAACATGTCTTCAAAAGATAACAAAGTGATGCGAACGACGACAGAAGTGATCCATATGTGTCGCCAAGCTCCAAGCTGTGAGGCGACACAATACAATATCGGCAAGTAGATCTATATTTAGGAATCAGATTGATCAAAATTAAACTGGAAGTAATATTTCTTGCAGTGGGGGTTATACATGTAACAAGCTACTTTGCTATGATATTAAGATTATTTTGAAAGGGCCTATCAATTTAACTTAATTCCAGTTCTTTGGATTCAGAATTAAAAAAAAAATGTTTGTTTAACTAATTTATATGAGAAGGCTTAGATTAATATTTATAAGTGTTTATGTTTGTATGTTTGCAAGGGATCTGAATATTAGTCGTTTTCTCAGTGGGATGCGGTGGAATATTTTAATTAAATGCTAAATCAGCCAAAATTGATATCAGAAAATCCAAAAACTGAAAATGAATTTGACATGGCCTGATAAATTGAAATATTTACCATGAAATAGAGCAGTAAAAAAATCCATAGTTGAAAAATCCGTTCTCTCATGTCTGGCGACAGCAAATGATGTTTCCAGCGTCCTATTAAAAAACATTTGTAAAAACTGATATGTGTAAGGAATTGAGTAGACACTTATTCAAACTGGATTAGCTATTTATAATTTGATCAGTTTGTTTCAAATAGATTTTATAGAATTATCTATCTTTAGCAATAGCTTCTATCTTGATTATTTCGTATCTAGACAACATAAGAATCATTGTGGCTATAATTAGTGTAAAGAGGTCCAGTGGTTTCAGAAGAGAATATTTTTGAAAGTTCACTACGACGCTGGACGACTGAATTCAAGTTGTTACATCAGCTCACATTGGGCAAGGAGATCTCAAAATGTACTAGAAATATCTCAAATTAGTAGAGTTGCTGTCTCATTCATGTATACCGCACATCTCAATTAAAGCATATTGAGAATATTCCTATACTAAACACCAGAGAAACGAAATGATCCTTTGACACTCGGTAAACATATGTATTCTTCTGTTACGTATTCTAACATCGGACTCGGACTTCTTTTGAACTGAATTTTACTGTGCGTATTGCTGTGTGTTTGTTTATTCCACATTGGCTAGAGGTATTAGGAGGGGGTTGAGATCTCACAAAACATGTTTAACCCTGCCACATCTTTGCGCCTGTCCCAAGTCAGGAACCTCTCGCCTTTGTTAGTCTTGTATGTTTTTTAAATTTTGGTTCATTGGTTTCGGAGTTTAGTGTGACGTCCATTAGCTAAACTAGTATACATTATTGTTTAGGGGCCAGCTGAAGCCCACCGCCGGGTGCGGGATTTTCTCGCTGTGTCGAAGACCCATTGGTTGCCTTGGGTTGTTTTCTGCTCTTTAGTCGGGTTGTTGTCTCTTTGACGCATTCCTCGTTTCCATTCTCAATTTTATCTGTCAATGTCTAAATATTAAATAACTAAGTTTAGCAGATACCGACAAGCAAGAAAGAATACAACGGCAAGCAGCAAGTTTCATGGCTGGCGATTACAAACAGGGGAAGATGGATGCATACAAAACATGCTTGCCAAACAAGTACTCCAATCGACGTACCAGCCAAAAGTTTATATTTTTGTCAAAAGTGGTCAAAAATGGTTTTGTATGAAGAAAAAAAGACTTACTTTGTCAGAGCTCATCTACGATTAATTAGTTTATTTAGTTTTTGAACTCTTATCAAATAACAAATCGTAGCCTTAGCTCATTTCTAAACAAAGCTCAGTAAACTTTATTCTACTCACTATACATAGTATTTGTTTATTTATTTTTGTTCAAGTTTAAAATTATACTGTTATATCCTCACTCCTACATTGCATTTACTTTGTCCGTTCCGTCCGTCCCGTCCGTCCCGTCCGTTTCGTCCGTCCCGTCCGTCCCGTCCGCCCAACAAATATTTCTAGCACACACTTCTACAGTTCCTCTCGTTTTTTATAAACACATGTATATGTTCATTTTGTAATTGTTGTATCTGATGATAGTCCAATGTCTGGAGTTTATTTCAATAAAAAATACTTACTTACTTACTTATACATGCATGAAATGTTTGTCACTGGACGTTAAGCAACCAAACAATCAATCAATCCAGTACTACTGAACAGAATGATTTCATGTTTGGTCAGCAGCTTGACAGTGCTGAGTTGTACACTGTTGTAAAGGAACTTTTTGTGAGATAACTACTTCCTGTTTGCCTCTACTTTGAATTACGAGTGGGGGTATGCTTAGCACGACAACGCCGTCGAGTGCACTCTTGTTAATGTTCATCACTCAACAACCTTTGAACTTGAAGCAATAATATTTCAACTTCTAACGATTTGTTTAGCTGTTGACATATCTTCTTCCAGAATCTGAGCCTGTCTTACTTCATTTCAAAAATGTGCCTCGGGGTGGATGGGTTGGATGTAGTTACATGCATCTTTTAGTTGGATTCCAAGACTGCCGTTCCCGTTACTTAATGTATAAGTTGCATCAGAAAACAATGGTTTATACATGGACGATCCTAGCTTATGTTACATGTTTAGATCCTAATTCCACAAAAGTCAAAACATTGGACAAGGAAAGAAAAAACTCAAGGTAAAGTTACTTTGATTGCAAGATATTATCATATCTTGGTCCTTGGTGGGATTTCATAGCCATGGTATATTTATTGTGTATAATGTGAAACTCTTTTGATCCATTAAAATTACAATGTCTCCTCTTATTTTTTGCATTTCCGTGTAATTTTGGCTTTACTCTCATTTTAAGGCGTTCATTACAGACACATTGCCTAGATTTTAAAAAATGTTCTTCTAACAAGCTGAATGCAACTATTACGGTTTTTTGGTTTCACTAAAATCCTTCAAATACAAGACAGAGACTGAGATTTTCACACACTCGCAAACGGTGATGAAGGGGTACTAAAACAATGCATGTAAATTGCTATACAGTTAGTGATGAAAGTTGATGCTCGTAAAACATCACATTCAGTTAGACAGGACATCCTCTTCATTCTTACAGGAGGGGTTTTACTGAATAAATATGTTGCTAAACAACAAGTTGCAAGCTTCCGTTCTCAGTAGCATTTCAGAAAAGAAGAAGAAAACGTGTCTTACCACGGGTTATCTACTGTTAATCTGGCCTTTTAACGTCTGTTCAATTTCATAAGAAATCTGTTGAGTTTTTGTATGAATAGTTATCAAAGATAAATCCATCACCTAAGGCTTTAATTTCATCGCCATTGTAAACAAAACTCATTAACCACTAAAATAGGTGCACTCGATTGAGGTACTATAATCCCACAAGTATCAAATTTAAATACAATTTTTTTCTGTGAATAATTTTGTAATCGAAATACTCATTGCAATTTTTTATCCTCTGAATACCTTGAAATGACTCATTATCAGAGAATAATGTTTACATTGGGACTTTCCGTGTTTATTTTCCTTTCACGGTATACTGATCAAAGAAAAGTGTGGTTAACCAACTAACACATTGATGGTTTAAAAGTGCACCGTTTTTAATTTTTCGATGAACACAATTTGAAGCGATCAATTTGTTTCATCAAAATAATTATACCTAATATAAAAATCTAAAAAAAAGTGGCTGCCAGCTTGAGTCTGGTACTTTTGTTTATGACAACACAGTAAATAAATACACAAAATATATTGTTAATTTATCATTTGCTTTTACATACCAAATCTTTTATAAACTGGTGATACTGGGATAATTCCTGGAGCATTGACATTAGGTATAATTCCAACTTTCAAGATAGGAGGAAATCATTGAATCGCTGTCCTCACAGAAAAATCACACGCATCAGTGAGACATCTAGTGTCAAAATATTACCTCCCCTGCAAATACTGGAAACTTGATCTTCTCAATGTTTGTTCCGTTTAAGCAAGGATGCTATTGGGGAACTACCATTTAACTTCAAAGGAGGCGGGGGGGGGGGGGTTATGGTTTTTTTTACTTAAATAATATTCTGATCCCCAAATTGATGAAAAAAAAAACATTCTGGTCAAGCAGACGACAAAAAAAAAATATTCTGAATTCAGATTTTCCCCATACCTTATAGTGTTAAATATTGAGAAAAAAAAAGTTTGATTGATAGCGTTGAAAAACTAAATTAAATTGATCGCGCTTTGCGCGAAAACAATTTTCTGACTCAGACAAAAAACCATAACCCCCCTTGAAGTTAAATAGTTGCTCCCTTAATTATAAATTCACAAGAAAGCGCTTTGGTAATAGTATCAATAAAGATAAATTGAAATAAAAACAAAATTTCCATCAAATATTATTATTTCCCTCATAAAATAACAAACGAGTACAGCAGGCTTTAGGAGCTTTATATAAATTGATTTAAAATGTTGCTATGTGAGTAAATTTCTGGAATACCAACTTCAATTTATTTTTCCACTGGCTGTCTTCATCTCTAGATCATTCAAATCATCCGTATATAGATATAAGAAGATGTATGTACGATGAAATGTATTTTTTTTGGCCCCGCAACAAAGTTGTAGGGGCCATATAGTTTTACCCTTATCCGTCATTCCGTCATTCTGTCATTCCGTCAGTCCGCAACGAACAGTTATACGGACTTTATACTTAATATAGGTTATTTGTCGCTTTTGTGTTTTCGTGAAACGTACTGCATTTTTTCTCTACCTCAGTGCACAGTATTATACGGAAGTTGAACCATTTTGACAGATGTATTTCTTTTTTCTGGGTTTTTTTTTGCGCCTGTTGATAATACAACTGATATTTTCACAGGTTTTCCAGTTGAATTGTTTTCACGATCCGATACAGGTTTTAATGCTTGACCACCGTTACTTATTCTTTCACGATAATTTTCCCCGATATACCGAATGACAACCGAGCGGAATTTTTTTTTAGACTTTGAAAACAATGCACATATTTTATGGTTTATTTGGCATTTTTCATTATATGTGTTCCTGTTTCCTTATATTTGTCTATTATCCTACGGTGTTACTTTTTTCCGTTTCCATAAAGTTTACGTATATTTCCGAAATTTGCCGAGTGACGATGAATTGCCATGTGATAACGTTACGAACAGGTATGCGATATCAATCGGAAGCAGTTAATAAATTTTTCATATCAGCCCGCTATGCACATTCGGAAAATATAGAATTTACGTAAATTTAATGCGATTATCATACTGTAAAGAATATAAGTTATTTCCTCTAAGTATATGATAAAAGCTTATAAACTAAATTAGGGAAACATTATAATGATAAGAAGAACTGATCATAACAATAAATCTCCAAAATCAAGGTTTAATAACATGGAGAGCCAATTTTAATATCAGTGAAAGTCTATACCGATAGGTTTAATGTCAAAGATGGCCACATGAATTACTGTAAAAGATTTTGACCACTTACAAAATCCTAAAAGTTATTTACTATAGGACCGCAGTAAATGTTTGATAGTTAGTTTATCAAGGTCATCTGCAAATATTTCAAACAAATTCGGGACAAAAATTCCGAGTTATTTACGAATTTAACCATCAGAATTTGTTGTACACATGATGTATGTATTTTTTTTTTTGTAAAGTGCATACGTTTACAAAGTTATATTTTATGTAAGATGGGGATACCATGATTGACTCTTTCTTTTATGTTTCCATATGTATCATAAGCAATTTCATATATTACTCTAAAATCGCGTCCTGTCATACTGGCATCACGTACTGAGTTGACTTGCAAACTATGTTATTGTTTATAAAATCATTTAAAAAAATAAAATAAAAACAACTGCAAATAAAATCAAGTGAGAGGACATTTGCCACATCTCTGGAGTAGCAACTCTTAAATACTTTTTGTTTATTTAACATTTAACAGCCTGTATTACTTCATATCAATATTTTAGGTGTATTATATGAATGTTATGTAAAATACTGTATGTTGTAAAGATTATATTTGTTATATGTGTAAGCCCCCCCCCTGGGGACCTAATTTGGAAAATAAAATATCTTATCTTATCTTATCTTATCTTATCTTATCTTATCTTATCTTATCTTTTCTTATCTTATAAGTAGTTTACGGAATGTGCATGTATGTACTATATAAGCAATCTAAATATGCATGAAGTATTTTTTTTAGAATAGAAGAAACCATCAAACAAAAAGGCAAACTAGAATACAATATTTGACCGTAAGAAAATATGAAGCATATAAATACTAGTAGATGTCAATTATATGATTTAGGATATAAGAACAAAGGCATCATACACGGACTAAAATATGGAAATTTTATTTTAGACATGGTACCATGTCGAAGATGTTTCGGGATTGCAAAGAAACATAACAGGAATATTTCGGTCATTAATTCCTCGCAATGTTGATTCCCATAAAGTCCACAAATCCCTCATTGCTTCATGATAAGTTCTTCCGTACATAAGCGGAAACCGTGTATCAGCCATTATTGAGCCTGCGCATGACTCATAGACAGGAGGCCGCGAACCAAGTACTAGACACTTCGCCTTACAAACTCGTCCACATGTATCATACGCTGTAATTAATGCTTCAACGTTGGATTCGTTTGAAGGCCTTTTTATTCCGATGTAAGTAAATGAAGACGATACTGGCTGAAAAGGGTCGATTTTTGCATAATCTTTATATCGACCGGAGTAATTTATCCCATCCGACTCCACAAAAACTCTGCCGGGACCTGATGTAAGGTGTGAACATCTATCATATACTGCAGGATTTGACTTGTTTGGAAGTTTTTTCAGACTTTTATAGACAGTAGAATTCGACATTTTTGTATCATGGTCAATATGCAGGTCAAAACTTTTAATGGGATCTATACTGACTCCCGGTGAATGCATGTAAACAACTTTAACTGGCATAAAAACCCATTGGTTTATATCACTCTTTCCATTTATAATAAATGAATTTTGATAAGGTATTTCCTTTCTATTTTGACCGACAAAAGTATTAAAAGAATGAAAAGTTTTTTGGTTTGTTTTTACGGAATTAAACTGTTTCTTTTTTATTTCATCAACAACGCTTCTCTTACCCCTAATTAGTGAGGGATCCGCTGGGGCCACAGGGAGGGACCCACCCCTTGTTCTTCCGTCTCGGAAGGGAGATACAAACTTTGGTCCTGTTGCTAGCGGTCCAGTCTGCGCAACAGCATTTTGAGCTCTTTGAGGCGTGTCTGCCTCCACTGCGTCCGGTGCTGATACAACTTGTGCAGTAAATCCTGAGGCAGCAGCTGCCCCGGCCTGACTTCTTGCTGCTGGAGCTTGCATTCTCATTTGGGGTGGTGCAGCTCGAGATACACAAATTCCTCGGTCCGTATTACAAACAAGATCAGGACTGCCCGCGCATCGTGGACATGATGGTGCAGGTTGATATGATCTCAATCGAGCATATCTTCCTGAAAATCCTTCAGAAGTCCTTACCCTGGGAGCATAGGGAAATTCTCCAAAGTCCATGAAGCTGAATGGTTCATGCCCTGCAACATTTGTCGGTGGATAATCTGATTCTGCATTTGGGATACGACTCCTAAATTGCTCCCATATATAATCTATAAAAGCATGATGGCAAAAAAATATAGGGTCATATGCTGCCGATGCTAACGATGCTAGTGTTCCGTCGACCCATACATGTGGACCGTTGTGGTGACCTTCTAGGCTGTATTGCACAGTACCGGCTGTGCTTGGTTCAGTAATTTCGGCATGGCGCGTTCTACTGAGAACAGACGCAATAGCCTGTTTTGAAATAAGCGTACCATCACTTCCGATGTTGCGCAAAATTGGTCTTCCCGGTAAATTTGCAAACGGGCCATTAGTAATAAAACCGAAACCATTTCCAAAATACCTGGCTGTGAACAAAATTGTGTTCACCGGGTCATCCATTTCAAAGTCCAGAGACGAATCCCAGTAAGGAATAGTTGTTCCAAGGGCCTGTTCTAATCTGAAAGATAAACACAAATGTTTTTTAATATTAATCAGAGGAGAGAATTAGACAAAAGATGCGTCACATTTTTTTCACATGCTATCTCTGTTGTCTTTCGATACCATATTTTTATTTTCAACTTCTACTCATCCAACCAGGTTTTATAAATATCATTTTAACTAAATAATGTATGCCATCTAACGGATTGTATATGCATGATAAAGTTATTAATAAATGTTATGAATGGTCATTGATTATTGTTTGCCGGACTTCTCTACTACTGTAGAACAGTTTTTCCAAGAGCATGTTCAAGTCTGAAGATAAACACAAATTTGTAACAAATATGACATGCTCATTCAGAACGAGAAATATAGCCGAGAAATTCGAATGTGATTTTAGTGACTTTATTTTGACAACAAGTATATCATGTTCTCATTTAACTTATAATATTTTCAACATAATCAAGAACCAAAAATATAAAGCAAAATACAAATTTAATGTGGGAACACTAATGTTTCGAATTATACTTGTTAATACATATAACGGGTAACTGTAATCACCAAAAAATATAGATTATCACAACAGATCATATCAACCCAAATCACCGAATTCTCCGGTAAAAAAAAAACCAGACGCACAAACAAGGGCAAACAACAACAAACAAGTCGTCACTTGGTTACGGTTACACCAGTTCTACGTGGGCACAAACCTCTACCTTTGCCTTTCTAGACCTATGTCTCTTAACTTAAAAGCAATAGCTATCAACAGGATGACCGCTCTCTTAACCAAGGGAATAAAAAAGACGCATACTTTGGAAATCAGGATTAAAATGTGCAAACCTCTTCGGGAAGCGAACTAAGGTAGCTACAGCTGTTGGTTGGATACTATCACCCAAGAAACAAATGAAAGAAGGTGTGGATGGGGGTTTACAGAATAGAGAATGATTGGCAAAAAATATAAAGAATAGAGAAAAATGGACTCCAAAAAAATAAGAATAGAGAATAATGAGGTGCTAAAATATAAAGAATAGAAAATAATGGGCATAAGGTATAAATAATAGAGAAAAATGGCCTAATAAATTAAAGAATACAGGAATGAATAACCCCCATCCAGGCCCTCATAAAATCGGAAACAGCACTCCTTTCAGGTTTCATGAAGTCTAATAAAATTTAATTGAAATTGACAGTCTTTGTTTAAGCCCAAAAAGTAGTTAAAATAACATAATCTTACATTAAGAGATATATTCTGTGCCAGCCGAAGAAGTTTGGGCCTTGATGGGCTGCACCTAGGGTTCTCCCTGAATGAATACCAGCTATAACGTCGTAGTTGTTGGTGTCTTGTCTAACGCTCTGAAAATATATAACTCAAAATAAAATGAAGCGAATTAAATCTATTTTTTTTGAGAGTTTTGCTAAATTCAAAACAACCAGAACAAATGCAAAGAGTCTAATTATTATATTTACAAATTGTGTTTCTTCAGTTGTATGCTAATTTTATTTCGGCGGACATAAATATACGTAAAAACGAGATTCTAATTTTACTTCGAATTCTAGTATACTTACGAACGAGTTTTTAAGCCTCCGAACGGCTAATGCATATTGACGCCAGTTGTACTGATAAGGTGCTGCTCTCACTTCTCTCCTGACAGGTCCGCCGAATATCTGTCGCTTTTGTCTTAGCTGATCGCCCAATTCTGCTTCCCTCACCACTTTCCTTAACAAAGATGTGATATAATTCCTTACATTCGGATCTGTAATATTTGTAGACCATGTAGCAGTTGTCTCAACAAAGTTTGCTATACAGAAACTTTGAATAGTTCTAGCTGGAATTGTTGACGTATTGTCCGACTTCTGATCTAAACAATCGTACAAATTTTTTGGTAAAGGTATTTGTGTCACGAGTCCATTACTAAAGTGTAATGTGATCAAAGTATGTATCAACAGAAATATTGGTAGAATGCCCTGGAAAAAAAATCACCAATAAATGGTCATTACATTTAGCTGCACTCGATTCTGTCATTACCAAAATATACTTACTACAAAAAATATTTTACGCCAGTAAAAAAATCAATGCTTAACGTAACCCCTGTCTTTCCTTTTGAGGGTAGTTACTTCTCTGGCCCTTAGCTGAATCTATGCATGAACTTTAAATTTATTTAGTAAAATAGATATTAAAATAATGTTTAAAAATGCTAATCAGACGCAAACTTATAATTGCTTTTGAATTAGGCACATATCATGGTGAGCATTTAATTGTTTACCTACCATGGTCTCCATCTCGCCAATGTCCCGACGATAGCAGAACACATTCTTAAGTCAATATATAATGCTTAAATGATAAATGATTTACATATTGTTTACTTTCATGAAGATATAGTAGAAAAAGCATTTACACGAAAAATACCGCAGTTAATATACAACTTATGTTCATACAAAGAATTATCTTGTTCGTACATAAAAACATAAACATCTTTAATTTGCTGAATTTTTTACAAGGAGATGGAACTTTGATGGTTGCGACACAAGTGACTGATTTTTATATTGTACGAAAAGTAAAAAATAGTTATTCAAAGGAAAGCTGTTAACTGTCAACGACACGATCCGAACTTATTAACCTTTATTTCAAGTTTTTGATTTTAATTTGCAATATAATTCAATGTATTCTCTAAGTCAGTCATCAATCCGTATATCTTCTTATCTACAAAGGCAGCCGAGATGTTCCGATGGGTGGAATGAAATCTTTACAAAGTTGTGTTATTTGTATATATATAGTGTAAAAATATAGAAAGAATATAGAAATATTACTATACCGAAAAAAATAAATAAAGAATATTTCAAGAATAAAATAGATAATATCAATCAGTTAAATGTCCGACAAATTGAGTTAAAAAAATTAAGGTTTTCTAACCGACACCACGCATGCGTTTACCAATTGTCTTCCACTTGGTCTGTTGTATTCTAAGATAAAACAGGACGTTCATTCGTATTTTGCGGAGCCCCTTTGGTGCCAAAGATGAAATGTAAAACATTTGTGCGCGCGACTTTAAATTTTTTGTGCACAATTTTAAAAATTGCGCGCACAAGATTTAAAGTTGTGCTCTCAATCTTAAAAGTTGTGCGCAAAGGATTTTAAGTTGTGCGGCCAAGATTTAAAGTTGTGCGCAAAAGATTTTAAGTCGTGCACACAAATATTATAGATTTCCTCTTTGGCTCTAACGGGGCTAGAGATCCGTGGTATTTTAATTGGACTGGTAAGTTGCAAGAAAATTGGTTATCACACTATATTTGCCACATGTGTAGACAATGTTTAAATATCTATTTATTGTGATTTATATTGAACACCATAGTTGAACACTTTACTTTGTTTTGTGTAGTAGTAGTAATAGTAGTAGTATATAATTGTATAATTGACGGCGTTATCACCTTTTTTTACGCTTTGATATAGTTCGAAATATGAAATAATAAATATTTATGACGCATAACATGACTAAATTGAATTGAACATGTGAATGATGTACCTACAAGATAAGTGTCTGCATTTTTTTTTACTAATAGCTGATTTTTGTTCATTGTACAAAAATTACATTTGTCCTTTGAAAGGCGACATTATGTTGTTGACCCCGGAACACTAGCCTGAAACAATTCTACAGAACAACCAGAAAATGTGTATGTTTCTTTCTTCTTTTGCTGACTATATACATTAATTAAACGTTAAATAAAATTTGGATCAGTTTATCCTTTGATTCGTTTTTTTTTATCCATGGCATATGGGTCAGACGATTTTGGAAGCGACAGAATAAAAATATCCATGAGCTAGAGTTGTCTCCCATGAGGTTGGATGTGGGATATTTTGCTCGGAGAATTATCTTGTGTTTTTGAAGCTTTCCACCAGGAATTTTGTCAACATATTTGGTGAAAAAGAACAATCTTGTACAAACACAATATTTTCACCTACCACGATAAGAAATACAACTTTAAATTTAATAGATCGTCAACACAAAAATTGTCAATGTGTAAAGTAATGAGAAGTGAACTGTTTTAATCCACCCGTTAAACTGTCTATTCAAAATGAACTGTGACAAAAGTGTAAATAATGAACCAGACTTAATATACACTGAATTACAACCCTGTTCTCTACAATGCAGTCAAAATACGTATATACAAAATATACAAAATAACTTTGATACGGAAGTTACATCAAATAGCTCACAAGACATCGTCAGACAATTTCTTGGTTCTCAAAGCGATCATATTGCAAACCCGTTTAATTATACACTGTCTACCAATATGGCTGACCAAAACCCTGATCCAACGAACTTATTATTACAGAGCATTGAAGATCAATGTAATGGCCTACCCAAAGATACTTTTGTAACCCGATTGGTTCAATTTTGTGACAATGATGCAATAGCTCTAGAGCAACTACGATTACAGTATTTTGTCATGGCAAAGCAAAGACCGGACTTTCCGTTTGCATCCGAAATTTTGAAAAAACGCATGCAGCCAAAAACAAAGAAAGGCGAGCCATTGGTAAATAAGCTTGGTCGTGATTGTTTTTCCCTCCGTCTTGCAACTAAAGGCGAATTTTGCGATGATTTAAAAGAAGTTCTAAGTATTAAACAATCTATAAGGGACACTCCTTGTGTGGATGACTTTATCACATCTACCCCGCAACTGTTTGTAAATAGTTCCCTTCGGGACACTTTGGTACATGTAGAGATATCAATTATTGAGTTAAAGATTGCCCATGAGAATGATAAGTCTGCTTTACTGTGTAAAATTGAGAATTTATAAAAGAAAAACGTAAAACTTAATGTTGATTTCAAAAAGCAAAAGGAACGCATGAATAACATTCAAAATCAACTAAATTTAGCTAGAACTGCAAATAATAAACTAAATGATAGTTTAGCATGTGTTAAATCGGAACTTAAAGGTGTGTCACAAAAGCAAGTAGATTTAGCTAGCGAGAACTCGAAAACCACTGAAACAATGCGCTCAGCAAACAACAAAATAAAGGAA